TCCGACTGTGGCTATTAATATTTTGCATTTTTTTTGAGTTAGAATAAAATTTTCAAATCATTTGATATTTATCTCATTTAGATTCAATAATTTCAATAAATATAAAGGATCCTATCACTATAGTCTCCCCTCGTGAGAAGAAATTTATATTCATGTTAACATTATTTTACTATGTGATTCTTTTTGTGGCTACGATTTATTTTGTCAACCCTCACTAGACCTATTTTTTCAACGATACGTAAAATGATTAATTTAAGTTTATAATATTTAAGTTAATGATTAGTTTAAGTTATTACTCTTAAAAATTGAAAAATATTCCTTATTCAAATAAAAAGTATTTTAACCAGCTTTTTCCATACAAACAATTAAAATCATTAATTTCTAATATTCTTAAAGTAATTAATGTGGAATTAGATAGATTTGATATGATAAAAGTATTTAACTACAAAAATAAATAATTTTACTTTGTAATTTATTCATTTTTTAACTTTATTTGTGAGTGCTACTACTAGTCTCTAATATTCCAAATTTTTTTGTAACATGTTTGCTATATAAATCATAAATTAAAAAAAAAAATGATTTTTAGTTTCACCTGAATTTAACGATGGATTTTTACAATTATAATCAAATTTTATAATACGCTCAATTGACTAAATCTTTTTAACCACTTTTTTTTATTGATTTTTTTAGATATATAATCATTAAAATTAATTAAATTCTGAATATTTCCATTGTAGAATCTTTTTAAACACCAAAAGTTAATTAGACATGATTACTAAGATTTTTATTTAAGTGATCTATTAAGATAAAAATGTAAAAAAAATCGAACTTTACTGATAAATGTACTGTAAATAGTAATTATAAAATGTCCTCATTGCATAGGGTCAGGTGGGGTAATTGTAAATGATTCTATCAAAGTGATTTTTAACTTGTGTTTATGACTGTTTACTTACATAAACATTTATTATATTATTATACATATGTACTAGTGGACATAATAAATATAGTTTTAGTAAACTTTTAATTTCAAATCTAAAAAAAGCGTAATTTACAATTACCCCAGACATTTACCATTATCCCTTGATATTGGGGTAAATGTAAATGAATATTTTTTCAGTNAAACTAAGCTTAAAACAATAATAAACGAAAAATACTAAAATTATTGTGAAAAAAGGCGTTGATGGTTTGTGCCATTTTAGCTTCGATGTGATGCTGAGAAGGTATTGGTTTTACTATGATGTGTTTTTTGTGTCTGTTACCACTTTTTCTCAGCTCTCACCGAACCGATTTCTTTCAATGATACGTCAAAAGATCACAAATTGTATCTAGTCGAAGACATTACCCTCAAAAATTGAAAAAAATTCCCTCGTTCCCCGTAAATGGGGGAAACCTCCAAAAAATTACGAATTTAAAAATCGCTAATTTTCGAAATTTTTTCAATTTTTTTTACTTAAAAGTGCCATAACTTTTTCAAAAATAAACATATCAATATAATTTTTTTTTACATAGATGCAAAATATCATTACCTTTCATTTGGTATATTTTTTTTATAAATTTAACCCTTAACCTGCCCACAAAAGGGGATTTAAAATGACAACTTTTTCACAAAAAATTAACTTTTTCAACTTAACTTTTGAAAATGTTCCGGAAGGTCTGACACTTTTATATATATCTTAAATTGAAGCTAATATAATGTTCTTTATTATGCAAAAAAAAAATTTCGGACTTTATTTTATATTCACGGTGAAAATGGCTACCAAATGCTATTTTTGTGTGAAAATTTTCGATTTTGTATTTTACATTTTTAACTTTATTAAGCTATAACTTTTTGAAAAATGTATGGATCAGTACAATTTTTTCATGAGGAGTAGTATTCATATACATCTTTTATTTGACATACTGTTTTTTTAAATCGGACCATTTCCCTATATACGAGGAGGGTTTAAATCTAAAAAATGCATGTAAAAAGTAGAACTTTTTCAACTTAAATTTTGAAAGTGTTCCGGGAGGTCTGACACTTTTATTTATATCTTAAATTCAAGTTAATGTAATCTACTTTATTATGCGAAAAAAAAATTTCGGACTTTATTTTATCTTCACGGTGTAAATGGCTACCAAATGCTATTACTATGTGAAAATTCTCGATTTTATTTTTTACATTTTTAACTTTATAATGCTATGACATATTTAAAAGTGTATGGATCAACATTATTTTTTTATAAGATATAATATTTTTTAATAATCCCTTTTTCATTCGACATACTTTATCTTAATCAGGATATTAATAAGGAACTAGCAGTTTATGAAGCTTTTGGAATAATCCACCAATTTTTAAAATTAAACACTATCTAAAGATTTGCATCGAAGCGTTTTTTTTTTATAGTGATTTTAATCACTGTCAGATATCATTATACATGATCCATCTATGCCACGTCACCACTGTGCCGCGACCCCCCTGTGCTGGGTTTTTTAAATGATAATACAAATGGCATAACCTCTAAAATTCTGTAATAAATATGATTGATGGGAGAAAAAATATTAAATAATAATTTTATCGAGTTCGATGGTTACAATTTATTAATTTTATTAGAATTATTTACAATTACCCCTATTCACTATTACCCTCCTGACCCTATTAATCTTAACATTTTCAATTTTTTCTTGCAATGTGAGCTAAAAGTTATGGTAATAAATAAATTTATTTTTTTTTATTAAAACTTTCACTTTTAAGGACAAAACAAAGTAGGTTTATAATGATTACATTTAACATATTAAAAATCAAAATAAATAATAATTTGAAAACAATAAATTAAAAATTATATAATATATAATTAAAATAATTACTAATCTTGTTATAATTAAGGAAATAGAAGTTGATGTTGCTTTTGTAATTATAATTAATTTATAAAAATTGATGGATAATTATCCATCAATTTTTTAGAATTAAACACTATCAACAGATTTGCATCGAAGAGTTTCTTATGATAGTGATTTTAATCACTGTCAGAGAAAATCTATACTAGACTCAACTATGCCACGTCCCCACTGTGCCGTGATCCCACTGTGCTGGGTTTTTTTTTTAGATAATCACGATAGGAGTTGAATCTTTATTGTCTAATTCCGATTTAATTATTCTTGTAAGTTGTTTGGGTCTTCTTTTGATACTTGGATCTCTATTTCTTTGCCATAGTTATCTTGGTTTTTGTTTTTTTTATTAGTTTTTGAATGTAAATTGGGATTTTAATAGAGTGATCGATCGGTTCATGTTCGCATTGGGTAAAAATATGGCATTTTTGATAGTGTCTGGCTCTTGTATGACATTCATCGTGATAATTGCATAAGATAAATTATCGTTGTTTTTTCTATTTTTATCTACATGATTGACTGTGGTTTTTGAGTAAAAAAATAATGTATTATTAATTTATGAGGCAATGTTTGGTGTGGATGTGATTTTTTTTATATAGATGCAGCTATATAGTTTGTAGGGTGAGCTTCGTTGTAGTTCACGCAGGTTGAGAATGATTCAGATTCTTTTTTACAAATTGTGTAATCATGAGTATCATTAAATTTAACCCAACGATAATTTGCATATTTTATGTGTGTGACCATATCTCTAACAATTAGTGCATTGACGAGGGTGTTAAGGTTTATTTCTTGGTTGTATACTGATAATGCAGTTCAACTATTTGGTTAATTTAAATATGTCATTTGATAAATTTTATAAATAAATGTTTAATATTCTTTTAGTTTTGTTTACTAGAAATTGTAGATTTTTTAGTTCGTCATTAAATTCTGACTCGTTGATGGATAAATTTCTAAGGACGGCTGAGATTTCTTTTTCAGTTTTTTATTTTATCTGCATTAGCTGTGACATTAAAGTAATTTTGGTTTATTAATGTTATTTCAGAGCGTAATTGCAGATAATTAGGGAAATTTAATATTAATAGATGTGCTATTTTGTCGTACGTAATATGTGTTTCTTTATCAATGTTATTTCTATTAAGTTCACCTTTAGAGTTGTTTAATAGTGTGTAACGATAAGGCGTTAGAAGAAAAAAATAGAATGTTAATTCTTGATTTTTGTTGGTTTTGGGTGTTTTTTGCGGTAACTAAAATTCTTCCTCGAAATTTGGAGTAGTTAGTAGAGAGTTATACTGTAAAACAGTTGATTTAATACTAATTATGGTATTTTGCGTTTATTGCTGTTTTCATGCTACTATTATTGTTTGTACGACTTTGAAAAGACACTAGTACTGGTAGGGGATATTATTTGATAAGAGTTATTATTATTAAGTAGTGTTGTGGTTGTTTGGCAAAACTAGTTCTGTAACAAGCGATGTAGTTGACAGATTGTTTACTGTATGGAATTAAGATAATATATGTTGACCGTTGTTCATTAGTATAAATATAACTATGGGAGCCAGTTAATACTTACAACAGAAAAGCTCCACGACGCCCGAGGCTTAATATACCTCTTGAATGCTTTATATATTATAAGAAAGTGTAAACTTTTGTCTTCCAGACGATGTAAAAATCAAGAAAAAACGTTAAGTGTTACGTAAGGAATTGCCATTAAAACTGAGAGCATAATAATACGAGTGCATGATCGGAAGTCGAATGTTCTGAAAAATAAAAGAAATCATAACATTATTAAGTAAATGCTACTAAAAATGATACCGGTATTCAAAAATATCTAAATTAAAACGCATTATCTCAAAAACAAGAGCTGATAGAGCAATTCTTAGGCTATTTTTGCAATCAGCAATCCTGAAGTACATAGAAATGAACCCTTTCACACCTGCAATTGACAATTTTTTTTTTATGAATAGTATAGTCATTTTGGTTAAAAAAAAATATATGTTACATAATTTTCAGAAAATTTTTAAAGTATAATGCGTCTTAATGTTATAAATAAAAAATTTGAACAGTCCGTTTTTTAGCTCAGTTTGTTAACTAAACAACTTTTTTTACGGAAACGAGCGTATTTATTAGGAAGCAGACTAAGTAAACACAAAAGTAATTCTATAGGTATAAATAATGTTTCATATTTGGAAGTTACAATAAAAGTTATAATCTACTCTAATAGAGGTTTTAAAAAAGTAAGTCATAATTATTATTTTTTTTTATTACAAATAAGTAATACAAATTTCAAATTTTCATCTATTTTTAGCTTCGATGCAAAGCAAAGAAGGCATTGGTTTTACTATTATGTGTTTTTTTTATTTTTTGTGTCTGTTACCACATTTCTCAGCTCTCATCGAACCGATTTCTTTCAACGATACGTCAAAAGATCACAAATCGTATCTAGTTAAAGGCATTATCCTCAAAAATTGAAAAAATTTCCCTCGTTTCCCGTAAATGGGATAAACCTCCAAAATAAATTACGAATTAAAAAATCGCTAATTTTCGAAAATGTTTTCAATTTTTTTTACTTAAAATTACCATAACTTTTTCAAAAATGACCAAATCAATATAAATTTTATTTTATAGATGTATGGTGTCTTTATCTATCATTTGGTATATTTTTTTATACATTTAACCTTTTATCTGCCTATAGGGGGGGATTCAAAATGACAACTTTTTCACATTAAATTAACTTTTTTAACTTAAATTTGAAAATGTTCTGGAAAGTCTGACACTTTTATATATATTTTAAATTAAAGTTAATGTAATGTACTTTATTATAGAAAAAAAAATTTCGGGACTTTATTTTGTCTTCACAGTGAAAATAGCTACCGAAAGCTATTTTTGTGTGAAAATTTTCGATTTTATGTTTTACATTTTTAACTTTATAATGCTATAACTGATTGAAAAGTGAATGGATCAACACAATTTTTTTAACTGAAATAATATTTATATACCTTTTTCATTCAACATACTTTATCTTAATAAGAATATAAATAAGGAAATAGTAGATCATGTAGCTTTTGGAATAATCCACCAATTTTTTAAAATTAAACACTATCTAAAGATTTGCATCGAAGCTTTTTTAATGATAGTGATTTTAATCGCTGTCAGATATCATTATACTTGATCCAACTATGCCACGTCACCACTGTGTAGCGACCCCTCTGTGCTGTGTTTTTTATTATAATTTTATAGCTGTATTGTCCTAATAATTCATAAGATATATAGTTAGTTAGGTTATTATATCCATGTATTATTTTTGCTATATGAAAACATTAGGAGAATCTTGGGCAAGTTTAAACTTAGGTGTAAAAAAATTACGAAGTATTGTTTCCAAACATTATTAACAAATAATAATATTGTTAAATTATATCACACTTTGAATTCTCAGAAATAATTTTATGTTCATTTATAAGTCAAATCGATCAATCAGTGATGTGGCATGGGTATTAAAAAAATCTAAGCAGTAATTTTTTTTCAAAAGTTATTAAAATACTAACTTTATAGAAATTATTACTAAATTATTCAGGTATTTTTAACTTTGGTTTTAGTCATCCTTATAAGATTAGTCGAAGGTATATAAATGATCCAGTCTTCCTTTTAAAAACATTTAAAATTAATGCATATAAAAGTAAAATCAAACAAAAACAAAACTTAAACAATATTTTGCAACATTAATAAAATAATATTATTCCAAACCACTTATTTCTCTGATTTTAAATCTAACATTATTCATTATATTTATTATGTTTAAGGAGTAAAAAAATGAAGGTTTTCTATTTGATATTACTCATAGCATATGGTATGATTATTTTACGATTTAAAATAATTTTTTTGCATAATAATGAAAAGAATATAGAAAAAACATGTTTTGAATTTTTAATATATTTATGCTTATACTAATTATGATTAAAAGACATTTTTCTGATACAATTTTATAAATTAAAATCTATTTATTTCACAGTGGATATATCTGCAGCAGCTGGGACTTCTAACCATAGTAAGAGAACTAACAGTGTTTAATTAATTTATAGATACAATGAGGGCCAATTTATCGTAAAATAAAAAAAAAGATTGAATTAAAAAAAAAAACATTGACTTAATATTAAATAATTAGAGTTAAATATTATACATTTAATTTAGATTTATGTTTAAATTGTAATGACGCAAAGACACATAATGGTAACGAAGTATGTTTCCTTTGTTTATTGAATGGAGATAATCCAAAACAAACCATCCAATTTTTCAAAGGTAAATTAAAATTATATTAAATAGTTTAAGACTATTTCTCTATCACAAACTGTATATTTAGTGTAATAATTATTATAATCATTGATTTATTATAGTGTTTGTATTAATTTATTGTTATAAGTAAACTTTTAATAATTAAGCATTTTATTTCTCAAGATTTCCCTATGGTGTAAGATAATTAATTTGGATAATAATGAGAAAAACATCGAAAAAACATGTTTTTGACTAATATTATTTAATTTCCAAAAACTACTTACAGTTAAAATTACGTACAGCTAAGCTTAAACTAATTTTGATTAACAGATATTTTGTTTTCTTATTAATAAGGAATATATTATTTATAAATATTAAAATCTCTTTATATTACAGCGAGAAAAGCAACAGCAGTCTAACCCTATTATTAGTAAAACGAATAGTGTTTAATTAATTTATTGATACACAAATTATTTATTAATTAATTATAATACTTCTACATATGAAATTAATCTTTGATCTTATATTATCTGAAATATGCATTGCAATCCTTCCTCAATAATTTTTTCCATCGATTATTCCTTCTAAGATTAATAATAATCCATTGTGTCTTAAAATATAATCTATTAATTCATTTCGCCTTTCCTGTATACTCTTCCGAATTAATTTCTTCTCAGATACTCTTTCTAAAACTTTCTCATTAGTAACTCTATATCCAAATTGGTTCTCTTATGATATCTTTTCAATTCTCTTATACATATTTTTTGTTAAAAACTTTAAGTCATGCTAGGCAAGCTAATTATTCGATTTTGTTCACATTTTTTAGTTGATATATTCTTTGGTATGGGAATAATTATACTCTTTATAAAGTTGGTAGGTATATTCGCCGTTCTGTAAATATCTCTAATGAGTTAAAATAATTCATTTACCATATTTTCTCCTGCTTCCTTTCTAATCAATTTTGGTTTTAAGTCTCTTTATGCTTTGTCAAATTCTTCTTTTAATACTGGAAATTTTACATACTCTTTATCTTGCTACATATCATTTATGTTTTCTGAACCACGTAGTTTTTCTTCATTGTATAGCGTTTCTATGTATTCTTTCAATCTGTCTACAACCTGTTCTTGCTCATAAATAATTTCTCCTTTATTTTCTACTGTTCCAAATTTTGGTATACGTATTCCAAAGAACTTTTTTACTATTTTATATGCTTCTTCTCTCTTGGCCATTTTCACCAAAATGTCTATTTCCTCACATTTTTCTTCTAGTCATTTTTGATTTTCTTATAATCAAGATTATTCTCGCTTTTAAATACAATAATCTCTTACGTTATTCATTGATTCCTTGGTAATATGCTTTTTGTTTCAGTCATTGTTTCATTTACTGCAGTTGTAGTTGTTTTTCTCAGGGAAATTTATCTGATGTTAATGTCCTATTTTTTAAATTTTATTTGTGTATTCTTTAACCTTCTTATTTACTTTTTCTTCCTTTAATCTATTGGTTTGCCACTATAACAAGATTTTGGTCTCTATCTATATCCGCACCAGAAAAAGTCCGAGTGATATTGACTTGGTTTTTGAATATATTCGGTACCATCTCACATCTCCTATCATTTTTCATGTGTTCCTTCTCCTTGGATTATGATAAAAGTATGTATTCGTTATTATCATCTCATATTTTGCACAAAATTCCAACAATCTATCTCCACTATCATTCCTTTTTCCTATTCCATATGTTCCATAATGTTTCTTTTCTTTTTCTTTCTACTACTATTGAATTCTAGTCTCCCATAATTTTTCTGTCCTTTAATTATTTCAATAGCTTTTTTAATTTATTCGTTTAAATTAATTTGTTTCGTCTTTTAAAGTTAAATTTTATGAAAGTTTATAATTTAAAAAAGTTGAATTTTTAAAAAAATATTTGAGCTTGCAATTTTAGAATCGATATCATTTAATTGAAAATATTATGAGATTTAAAGAAATCGTATTTTTTAGAATAATTTGTAATTAGGAATTTTATGAGAAAATTTTGTTTAAATCACTATTTTTTTGTATTATTATACTTTTAAATCAAAGAACTTCTCTTTGAGACATAATAAAGAAAATAGTTGATGTTGCTTTTGAATTAATTCACCAATTTCTTAAAATTAAACAGTATAGGTAGAATTAAATCGAAGCGTTTCTCATGATAGTGATTTAAATCACAGTCAGATATCATCTAGACTAGTCCTAACTAAGCCACGTCCTCATTGTAACATGACCTCAATGTGCTACCGTTTTTTAATTTTCTATTTGGAATATCCAATTTTATATTTAATAGTGTGGTTTCAAGTAATTTTATAAGCAAATAAATATTATGGTTTTTATGGGACATGGTTAGATTATGGTCCGAAAGATTTTCTCTAAACTGTGACAAAAACTATAAAAGTCGAATCGTAAGACTTTTTTATAAATCGATAGTTTGTAAACAGAATCAAGCTGTTTACAATATATTTTTATTTTTATGAATTAAAAGCAGTTTAAATTCATACTACAAATTTTTAGATAGGAAAAAAGTTGTATTGTTAACTCATTGTTTAAATGTTTTTTGTGTTAGTGAGTTTTATCCCATTAGCTCCCTTTGTGAGATCACGTACGATCTGCAATTTGTAGACATAGGAATCATAGAAATAATATGGGTTCAAATCCACTGGTTTTGCACAAATCAATGGAAAGATGGCAAGAGCTAGCGTGGTCGACATTTTATGTATTATGGTACTCTAAACCATGCCAAATTAACGAAGATATAGATGTACAATATCTATGAATTAATTTCTAATTTTAATTAATTTAATTATAATATCATAAAACAAATTTTATAACTTTTTTTTTTGTTTCAATTTAGTAGACTGCTCAAAATGTCAAAAACCATTACCTAATGATTATAATGATGATGACAACCTGTGTCCTAGTTGTAGAAAAGAGAAAACATATGCAGAACTGGCAAGAGAATTTAAAGCAATAAATGATTTGCAAGACAATTTTAAAAAATAGTTCAAGATATTCCTGTAAAAATATTAATCATAATTATAATGTATATGAAATAATATTAATTATTGAGCTTTTTGTTTATAAAGATATATTTTAAACATTAAAAAATATAATTGATACTTATACTTTCGAGGCGAAACAGAGGAGATATTTATTTAATTATTGACATGGTACCTTATTTTTCTCTGTACATAAAACTATAATTCATTCTGCAATAGCCGTATCTATGCCAGGTTCGGATTGTACGTACAAACACTATTTAGAGCATAAAAAAGGGATAAACCATTTTAAACTTATTTAATATACAAGATGATTAATTTATCGTTGACCACTGAATTTTTAAGTGGTTAAATATTTTTGGTCTATCCCTTATCCCTTATAAAGGAATCTAACTTGATTTTTATCAATAAAAATTAATCTATTAAATATAAGTAAGTATTTAAAATAAAAACAAGCATTATTCCAAAAAGTGAATTTTTTTTTAAATTTATTTTTAGTTTCTATTAAATTATTGTAATATTTTCTTTAAACTAGGCCTTAATACTATAGCCAATATTGAATATAAATTTATTGCGCTATTATATGTAGACCATAAAGGAGTTGTCATCTTTTTTGTATACTTTGGTTTGTCATAAAATTATTTTTATTGTACTAAAAATACAAAGCAAAAACTATTACACTACCACTCATTTTGTAAAACGTCAAAAGGTAAAATTGTTTTCTTCTTTTAGCCCCAGCAATCGTTCGGTTTCGCGATACGTTTCTCGATAACGTTTCGTTATCTGTGATTTCATCTTTCATTTTGGTTTTAAGAAGGACACAAAAAAATCACTGTAAATTTGTCAATCGGTAAATCCATGCCACTATGTCTGTTATTTAGAATAACAATTATTTTTCAATGGTAAACAATCCATTTAACTACAGTTTAAGTTGATTTAAATTAATGGGTATTGATAACAAGAATAGTATTAATAAAAATTACATGGTGATCACTTTGAACTGCTTTGTGTTTACTAAAGTTATTACCGTGCTCAGATAATCGTCGGCCGCCAGCTAACAAGATAATTGGACCACGACGGTGGTGTTGGCTACGGTTAAGTGTTTCTACGTATGTTAGTCCTAGCCGGGGGCTGAGGCGGTTAATTCGGCTGCCAGTATTACGCATCTATTACACGGTCCACGGCAGAGCACGCGATCAAATCGGGATGTCATTATTTAGTACAGTTTGCCCATTTCTAACTGATCAATAATATTATTCATCACTGTAAAAAATACATTCACCTCTCAAATCACTGTAATTTCAATGGTTATTTTTTTTTAATCCAACGGCGGCCATCTGCTTCTAGAAATCGCTGGTGCGCGTGCCCTACATATTGTATGTATGCATGTAATGTAAACACGCCTCAACACTCGGTGTTTTATTTTTTCACTCACCAAGTCATTACACGGCCCTTTTTCCTTCGAGTCAAAGACAAAAATAAACAAGTACAAATATAAAAGAACAGCGGGTAGTTTATTGTTCGTTTTCAGATTTGAAGTGTCAACAATTGTTCATGAAAATTAAATAGATTGAAGTCGTCTAAAATTTACCGTTTGATTTATCGTAAATGAGTACCCTGTTTTCAAAAATAAATAGTAACTCATGTAGATCAATGTTTCAGATATAATCCTTTCAGCGGCCAATCTGATAAGATACATACAAAAGTGTTTTTTTATTTAAATATATATTTGTAACGTATTTATGAACAAATGAACGCTAAAGAATTTTCAAAAGTTTATAGTAGGGTTGGGGTTTTGACTAGTCAAAATATTTTGCAATAAATTGACTAGATATTGACGTGTCGAACAGTGAATTTCGCTAAAATTGTATTTATATTTTTTATTTTACTTCACAATTAATCAAAGTATCAGTTATCTCTTATTTAAAATTTACATGAATCATTTTTTATGATATTAAGTTAAATTTGAATTGATTTGTAATTTATAAGTTACTAAATTTTAATATTAATAACAACTTTTTAAATTATATTAATTTAAATAATAGACATTTTTGCTCTTCTATGAAAGTTATTTTCCTTTTTTTTATTATTTGAAAGGAAATACAAATTCAATTATCTATAATAAAAACTACAACAAGGAATTTTATTTGTCATAATTTCATAATATCAATATAAAACGTTTACACCTCATAATTCTATTATTGCTGTTCAAGACAAGACAATTGCGTGGTGTAAAATTCATATATTTTTATTATTATTTTATTTTTTTCGGGAAACATTTTCAATAAAAAATCATTATAATAAATGTACCTATTATTCTCATAACTTAGAAAAAAATTTGCAATATACAAAACACATTTATTTTCTTTCACATTTGTTTATGTGCACATAAACAAAAGTAGCCATTGTTTAAGTGATTTTTTTTTAATAAAAGAGTATTTGACTTGTTGTTTAACTTAGCTATAATTTATTTTTGTGCTGATTGTTCATCTTAAGAGGAGAGTGGGGCAATTGGAAAATGTATTTCAAAAACTATATTAAAGAACATGTGTGTTTGTTTTAAATTGCACTTTTACTTTTTTTGTAAATACAATATAATAATGTTGTTTTACGACGAATAGTTTTACTTTGAATAAAAACACTCAATTATTTTTCGTCAAACTGGAACGTAGATATGATTAATACTTGAAATTTAGAATAATAGTTTGTTATAATGTATACACCTTATGATAAACTAAGTATATTATAATATATTCATCAATAGTCATATTGAACATTAATTACAAAATTTCAACGAGTACATATTCTATCTATAGGATATATTTTCCCGGTATAATTTTTTTTGATTTACAAGTTTCTTAAGTTTGTCCTTTTAATTTAGTCTCTTTGCTATCCATTCATGTTTATTTTTACAATTTTCAGACGGTTTAAAAGCAAGTTTATCCATGATCGTGTAAATATCAAAGCGCAGAATACAAATAACAAACGCATGTTTTGTAAAATTTAAACTGTGCACTTGATAAGCAAAAGGGTAACAGTCGACCTTTTTCAAATTTTACATTTTGAGTTTCTAATGCGAAAATTTTCTGTGATTATATTTACTCTTTTTATTTTAATCGTATGATAAATATTCAGAGAGATATCAAATAACTAAATAAAAAGTTTTAGTAGAACCTATGGAAAAAAATGTTTTTTTGATTTTCCTGAAAACTTAGTATTATGATCATAGGCCCTACTGCTTCTCAGGTAGTGAACTGTATCTAAATATTTCTTAAATAGCACATATGGACTTTGATCAATTAGACCAAATTATCTACATGGAGATGTAGATAATTTATTGTGCAGAGATCATTACAACCGTAAAAACATAGTCTCTAAAGAAACTGTCTAGTTTCTTTCCGTACAGCATTGGAATGGACACATTGATCGTTTTGGTGCAAAAACGATATGTTTTTTATTATTGGTATTTAGATCACTTGGTACCGTTACGCTACGCCTCAATTAGTATGAAAATCACATTTTTGCTGTTATTATTGTTTGGCCGTGAGTATTATTAAAGTACAGTTTATACAATTTCTTTAGAGAAAGTATTGGTATATGCACGGTTATGAGAAGCTATGAGTTTTTTTATTGTGTTTTACATATACACATTTAAGAAAAGTAATCGAGTCTGCACCGCATCCTTTCAGAAAGAACGAGAGTTCGTTTATTTTTCGAGTTTGTTGCCCTCGTATTCGCATCTAACGCCCACAATTCACGATAACTTCATAAAAAATAATCATATTATTATATTATTGCTTATGTAGGATAAATCATAAATACCGATTGTATGCAAACGTTGTTGTTGAACCTACTTAATACGTGTATGTTAAAGCTATAGAACCATAAATCCCCATTGCATCGGAAGCTCATTGATTCATTCAAGTCGACAATCGCAGACGTTGTAAATACCTGGATTTATAACAAATATTGTCAAACTTGGTTCAATAAATTCATATTATCTTTTGAAATGTGCTGAATTTTCTACATCCCTGGAAATATTTACAATATAAATAAGCAATAAATTACATAAATTACCAATGAAATATAACTCACATAGAAATTATATAAGAATAGGAATTACTAAAAATTAATTTTATTATTTCTATTAGAAAATAAAACCAACTTATTATTTTATTATGACATTTCATTATTTGATCAATAAATATTATACATTAAATATAATATTTTCTATTGAATGATTATTTTTATACTTAAATAATTTTTAAAAATAATTAAAGAAGTTACTAAAATTTCTTTTTCAAAGACTAGCACATAATAGTAGATATATCTAATGCATGTATGCGTACCAATATTTCACATTTGACAGTGAACTATGAATCAACTTTTACTAACAAACATAACTCATTTATAATTTTATAAAACACCTTTGTGGTTTTTAAACTTTTTAAAAAGGATTTTACCGCACTTGTTACATATTCTTTATAAAAAAACCAAAAGATTACGTGTTCATCGAAAATCCAATAGGAAATATAATCTGTGGTTTCAGTTTTACATTTATTTTTATTTTTTACATTGTTTCCAAATATTCGAAAATATAAAAAAGTATAAGTAATTCTTTTGTAGCCATAAAGCCTTTTTTCTTAGTTTTTCAACCAAAAAATTACTTATTTTAGTACCTACAACCGCACAAAATGATTAGATACCAACAATTATGTACTGTAAAAATGAACAATAGAGTTCGAAGATAATTTAAGTGGTAGTAGAAAGTGCAGCATAACATGCTCATTTGTATATAAAATTTAAATAGGTTTATTCAAAATTTACTCTTGTTGAAATAACATTTAAGCTGTATTTATAAATAAAAATCAACTGATTTCCTTTATTGCTTCTAATCTTATTTCATAATAGTTATATTAATAACAATACTTTGTTTATAAAAATGTAGTTTTATTATAATATGGATGATTTGATATATTTTTAAGGATTACTTATGTAAACAAAGTGAATTTATAAATCTTAAATTTATATTTTTGCTGCGCTTACCTGTTTTTTTATACTCACAAGTATTTAATAATATTTAGCACCATAGTATAATAAATCAAAAATAATTAATTGGATTTAATGATGAATAAGTACA